AGGGACTGTGTCGTGGCCGTCCCCCCGGGGGGTGATTTCTCACTTTTTGTCTCTCTGTCTCTCTCTGTCTTTCTGGTGAGTACACGTGCCTTATAGCAAAAACCTCTCAAATTAAAAAAAAAGAAAAAATTAAACTAAGATAGTGCCTTTAACTTTAAATTGCATCTACATGATGAAAACTTCCAAATGTGTGTCATCAACCCAGACTCACTTACAAGGAGACTCTTGCATATAACTACCCTCTTGCCTTACACATGTACTTGCCTTACAGGTCCCTCAAAATTATCAACAAAAACCACATTATTTTAAACCACAACCATCACTTCAATCCTGGTGCTTACTAAGTCTAACTCTTGTCAATAACTCTACCACCCCCTTGATTCTCAAGGCACAAATGGAAGTCATCCACTGCAACTCCTTTTTGGGAATCCACCAACTCTTATTCATCACTACTTCATAAATGATCAACCCTAACTCCAAACTTTACTCCGACGCTGTCTACTTCCCGCCACATCTCCTATCCTCAGCCTCGTTTAAGTTGCCCATCACTCTCAGACTACCCCACGTGTCTTCTAACATGAGTCTCTACTTATATTCTTGTTCTACCCTCAACCCATTCTCTACAGAACCACCATAGTAACTTTTTTAAAATTTTCTTTAACAAAAAAGAAAGCGGGAAAGTAAAAGATAGAAATAGGCATTTTGACATGGTCTCACTGTGTTACCATACTTCATCCCTGTAGCCTCCCAATTAGCTGGGATTATAAGTATACCCAGCCACATCTGGCATGCTCGGATTGGCCCAGAAACTGAACCCAGGCCTCCATGCAGCTTCCAGATTCCCAGGCAGTGAGGCCACCTATGCACCACTGTGGCTGGGCCCACACTGATATTTTGAAGTATGTAAATGTGGTCGTGTCATTTCACCAACCTAAATATTTTTTCATGGTTTCGTATTGTACTTGGAATAAAATCAATCTCTCTCTCTCTCTTTCTCTCTCCCTGAGTCTGTAAGAGCTGGCTTCTATCTTCCTCACAAATCTCATTAAAGGCACTATCCTTTCTTACTCTTTGCTTCAATCTCCTGACCTTCTTTTAGAATCCTTTACCCAAATCAAATTTCTTCCCACCTTACGGCCTTTGTACCTGCTATGTCCTCTTCGAATTTTCTTAGTCATTCCTTTATATAGCTGACTTTTTCTCATCTTTTAAAAGTCTGCTTAAATGAAAAAAAAAAGCTCTAAACACCCAACATAAAGTTGGACC